TAGGTTAGGACGTTAATTCAAATTAAGTATAACTAGTATAAGTACATAATATTTATTGTGTAAAATAAATGAAGAGTTAGAAAATAATATTTGTTGCCGTTAACATTAAATTATTTAATTTTTACGTAAATATTAATAATAACAATAATTGTATCGTTAAAAATAGATTAATAATTATTTATTACGATATATATATAAATTATATATATATATATGAATAGTGTAAAATAACTGTTTATTGTTAAATAAGAGAGACGAATTATTTTAAGCAACATTTTTTTTATTATTTAAAGTTATTGAATAAAAGTATTAAAACAAGATTAACACTTTCAAACTGTATACAATTAATTTCTGTTGTATATATTGTGAAGTCATGGGGTTTGAACAATGTTTAATGCGCATTCGTGTATTTACTTTATTTAACGACTTTGTTTATCGATTTATAACATTACTACTCTTAGTTATTTATGATTAATTAAATACCTAAAAGAATAATAATCAAAATATATTTATCAACTTATAATAGGTATACTTCAAAGTTTTCATTTAAAAATGGTGATCCTAATATAAAAAAATAAAATTGCTCTTTTAAATGTACTTTTATAGTATGTATTTTGGTATTCATATAGTATCCAAACTTTAAATTTCCAATTTAAATATTTCAAACTGAACAATGACAGTACGTCAGTACCTATAATAATATAATTGATTTCAGCGAGTCTATAATCTTTATTAATAAAATACGTAGATAGATATACTATACTTACGATTTGAAAAAAATATAAATTTATATTAATTGTATGTTATTTTAATTATTAAATATAAATGAATTTGGTTATTAAATAAGTTAAATAGGTATTAAAATTGTAAAACAAATAAAAAAATATAAATATTTATGTATAATTTATATTGTCTATAAATACAGAATATTGTGTCGTTTTTGAATTTCAAAGTTCCATAATAATAATCGTAATAGCCGAAGTTTGCTATGGAATATTATTAAACAATAAAATGTATCGCACAATTGATTTTCGCAAGCACAAAACATAATAATATAGTTAGTATAGTGTATTTTATTTAATTAGAATTGGCCGACCTCTGCACACAAGCATATTTTTTTTTTGCTCATGAGTATATTATCTTCGTCATAACTCTCACAGTTCATCATGGTACATTAACGCTTCAAATGACGGCCCTTGCCGTTGCCTACCGACCTCGGGGAACTAATTTATACGTTTCATACAGGATATGGGCAAGTCTAAAGTGTATAAGAAATATCATAAATCACAATTCTAGAGCAAGACGTCTGGCAATCATATATTTCTGAAAATAATACAAGATAACGGATGTACATTTTTTTTTGCACTGTAAACATTTTATGACAAACGTTTATAGGGTAGTGTGCTGTTAATTATTATTCATTTTACTAATTAAATGTATGCATAGTAAAATCCCATAATATTAAAGCTATAGGTACTTAAAATTACTATGTAAGCATTTATATAGTAAATATAAATATATACTTGAGTTATGGTATATGAATAATATAATAAATTAATAGTCATTTATTTATATATTATTATACAATATTTTATTTATTATTAAATATACGGTTGTTAGCTATAGTTATTTCTATTAACTTGAAAAATACAATTGTGCTTTCGGTTTAAAAACTAATATACGAAGGTATAGACTTTTGAATTATTATTAAATATATTACACGCTCGTAAGTCGTAATACAATACCTCTATAATTGTTAACGATACGTTGTTAGAATCTTTAATGTTAAAATGTTATATGTACCTATATAATATATATTATATTATTAAATTGTACTATCCGAATATCCAACATTTTAATATCAAAATATATATAACAGCTTAGAAGTTATTGATGATTTATCAATTTGGGAAATTGTTCTCTTCAAAGTTCCTTTAAAAATAAAAAACACATATTTTTCACCAATAATTAGTTAGGCACATATAAATTACAACATTGAACATTTATTGAATTTAAAAATGAAAAAAGTGTTATTAACTAAAATATCTTAAACGTAAGTACCTACTATGATATAATTATTATATGGTTTTCAAAAACGGTTAATTATTTGTACTTGGATATCATGAACCAATTATATATTGAAAGCTGATATTTTCACTTTGTTGACTCTGAAAGGATTAGTTTATATACCTACATTATAATACATAGATATCATTATTTAGTAATATACATGGCGATGAGCATAATACGTAATAATTTCAAGCGTATATTCTATTAGAATTTATAACATACCATAATAATACAGTAAGTAGTAAGTATATATCATGTAATATGTATACTATTATAATATTACTATACACTACCTACATAAGGTTATCTGATTGAAATGGTTCATTTCTAAAAAGTCACGTTACATTTCGAGAACATTTCTGCAAATTATGTAGGATTAAATCTCTAGTGTAAAATGAATTTTATTATTTTTAATAAGCAAAATATGACTTTCTCACGTATCCAGCATCCATTATAATACAAACATGTCAGAGTAAAAGAATGAAAAATAAAATAGAATATTTTTTGTATTAATTCTGCATGAATATATTACAATGATATAATATAAATAGTAGGTATACAATTTTAAATTTATTCCAGCTAAAATAAGTTTTAGCTTTATGTATTTATTTATACAGTTAATTAATCAATATACATAATTACTAATTATTATATTTTATATTGATAAGTAATAAAAAATATGACAAGTATCAGTTTATTTACAAAAAAAATATTTTCATTTTTATTAAACCTGAAATAGTTACTAGAATTGTTTAAGTTTTGAATTCGACCATAGAATTTTAAAATAAATAGTTCAGTTTTTAAATTTTATGAATTTTTAATGTAATATGTTACTTTGCAAATTATTTAAAACATCTTCAGAATATGTACTAACACTTCTTCATTTTACAACAACTGCATATTTGTGTGAAACTGGATTTTCATCATAATAAATATATTTAATATTAATATCGCAACAAATATCGCAATAAATTAGATGTTGAAGCGGATATGCGCATTCAACTCTCGTCTATCAAGCCAAATATTAAAATACTGGTCAATGTAAAAAGCTAAGATCTTGGATCACATTATAAAATCATTAAATATTAGAATGTATAAATTACTAAAATAATATGTTCTTTTTTTCCTATTAAATGAATCAAATATTTAGTATATATTCGTATTTTAAAGAAAAAAATAATTATAAAGCAAATCATTTACAATTACATAATGTTTTATGAATTATTGTTGTCTCAAATTGACTTTGCAGGGCTCCGTAAATTTTTTTTGAACATTAGGGCTTCACGAACAAAAAAGTTTGAAAACCACTGCCATATAATAATGCACAAAAAAAATTAACTAAATCAATTAAAAATGTATTTTACTCATTTTCTGATCAATTTATTCAACATTTTCTTTACTTAAAATAAAAATAATAATATTATAATTTACACCAGAGGTACATAATTTTACATAAATATATTATAATAAAGGTACCTCATATGTTTTAATTTTTATTGCGTATGAACAGTTGATAATTCTTGTGTAGGTACTAGGTAGTATATATTAGGTAAATAAGATGTAAATCATTCCTGAGTTCAAATTTCCTTTTTTACCTTAATATTTTTAAACTTAAAAATGATAATATCAAAGCAAGTGTTTTTAAAAACTAAGCAAACAAACTTAATCTTTTTGAACAGAATATCATCAGAAATAATGTATTTGTGAGCTCGTGTTACTCAGAAATATGTCTACATCTATATTTATATCTCGTTCTGTTTGTAGGATTAATGCAAAAGTTACATACAAATTTGATGAAACGGTATAAAATTATAAACCATTACGGCGGGAAGTATCAATAATATTATTAAGTCCGTTCATCTTCTAAAACATATAATATTATACTATGATTACGGCTTTTCGTTAGTTTATAATAACTGTGCACATATAGTTCTGATGTCATATATTATGTATGATTATTATGGTATTACCTAAATGTCACAGAAGTACACTAATTGCCTGACAGAACCAAAAACAATGTAGTTTGGTATTGTATCAATGACAATTAAATTAAATTGTATTCAACGTTGAAATTAAAGGATCCGCGTAGCTATATATATACAATATACGTATACACAGCCTGTCAATATAATGCAGGGATGGGTATAAATAAGTATAATAATAATATGCTGTTGTTATAGCCCAAAAATGTCTAGTTAAATCGTGCGCCAAATTTTTACGCTGTCAACCGGGGGATTGATCGGATTTTAAGCGGTCATAGTTGGTGAAAAATAAGGGAAAAAATGTACCTTATGTCTCCCGGGTCCCAAACAGTAGTATCAACACCACAGGGACCGAGTGCGTTTTGATAAATAACCCAATTTTCCCTCTTATGGCAGCTATTAATTAATGGATTAGGCCGCCGGTAATAACTCAACGACGAGAGTCTCTCAGCCCTATCGCGTCCCGATAATATGTATATGTAAGGAGGTTTTTTGTTTTTTTTTTACCACAATACCGTAGCGCCACCATGTCGCCGGTGACCGCGAGGAGCGCCCATCGCCATGCGTTCCGTGTTGGAGGTTATGATGTTTCGGGCTGAAAAGGGATCGACTTGGCCACGGCATTTCCGCGCGCGTCACCGGCAGCCGCGTACGTCCGTATCGCAATATTCAGTGGCCGGCGAAAGTTCTCGTTTTTCGTAGTATAGTTTTGTTACCTAGCTTTTCTATATTATCGTGCGTGACTTATATAAGTTATACATATTTTTTCCGATTTCATCTCAGAGTGTTTATGTAGTGATTTAGTGTTAAGAAAATAATTCGTAGATAGTCTTGATCGTCCGGTCATTCGCGTGCGTGTGTGTGTGTGTGTGTGTGTGTGTGTGTGTGTGCTTGGTGGATTTTTGAGTGTTTTTTTCATTTAAATTTGGTTACATTTTTTTTCTCGAAATGACCGACAGCAGCTATAATTCGCCTGCCAGGAGTTACGGGTCACCAGCTAGGAGCTTAAAAATGTTAGACAGGGTATACGGTTCTCCAGCTCGGTCGTATTGTGGTGACCATTCTTCCGCCACGGAGTCTGAAGGTGAAGAAACGTTGGAGTTATTAACTGAAATACCGAGTTCGCCAGACCAAACAATTTTAGATGGTTGGTTAAAATTCAGGGACAACAAGAAAGTAAGTAGACGAGCTATTATTACTTAAGGCAATGACGTAATCCCCGGGGGGGGGGGATGACGATCCACTTGCACCCCTTGATATTAGCCATGCCATTATAATAGACTATATAGACTAAATTGTAATAAAATAAAATAGTAAATATTGTATTTTTACATGCATAAATAATATAGTAGGTACTAGGTATATATTAAGTGTTCAAGATAAAAAATAAATAGAAAGCGAGCTGTTTCGAATATGACTTAATTTGTCTTTAATATGAGTCTTTCGTGAACTCACCGGTATTAAAATCTAAAATTCAATCGAATATTTAAATATCTATAACCTAAGCAAGGTTCCATATCGTATTTTAAATTAATTTTTTTTTAAATTTATAATATAATTTAAACAATAAAAAATACTGTTACTAGATTTTAATGGAAGTTTATTAATATTTTAAATCAAAAAATAATTTTAATTGTAGCTCAGATTATCTAAATATTGTTAAAAAAATAATTCTTAGTTAAAATTTCCAGCGGTTATTTTTTAACTACTATGAAATTCAACAAATTACCTTTCTAAAGTTCCGTTCGTGTTCAGTTTCCATTCTAAAACTAGTGTTGTATAAAACTTTTGAGCTCTTTTATGGCTCAAAATATATCCACCAAAGAAAAGTGCATGCATTATTTTATATGGTTCGTTTTACACCAATAGCTCCCTCACTCCACTAAGAATCTAAAAATTACTGAGAATTAATAACATTTTAAAAGTTGAGTATATAAAATCCGAAAACAATATTGTTTTAGAACGAGAAATTCAATAGGTTTTCAAATATTAAGGCTTTCAAAATTAAAAAAAAAAAAAAAAGGTTTGTTTAAAAGCTATGAATAATCTATTGGTATTATAAAGATGCATATTGCATATCACATGTTGTAAAATAACGGTAAAAAATGTTATAAAAAGCATTTCTGGAGTTCTATACATTATGAACGGATGTAAAAAAATATCTTGCCAGACATCAATAAATATTTTCAAAAGAGTTTTAAAATTCAATTTTATTTAGAAAACCTAATATTTGAAGCTATTTTTAATAAGATATCCTTCAACTAATAAAATATACAAAAAATAATATTGCTTAGAACATAAAAATAAAATTTTGAAATACTTATAGTATTAATGAGATCGGCAAGAAGAATTATTAATAACAAATTATAACAGCAATAATAACCAAAGACTGAAGTTTATTTAAATTGCAATTGTTCTATTACATATAACATATCTACATCTAAAAATATTTATGACTATTTTATAAAGTTAATTTTGTTTCATGAAGTAGGTACCTATGACATTAAACCACAATATTGTTTGTATATTATGAATTAATTTATTCAAAAAACATTAAATTCCTCTATAGTTGTATGTATTTACTGCATATGATTTTACCTTCATATTCCTATTTACATTGACTATTTAAGCCTTAAGGTGTTGTTTTAACTAATATGTAAAGCTACTGCCTATAGGTTTTGTATTGAAGAAGGAAACTGTTGGTTTTTGAATGGCAGGATTAGGTAGGCAAGAATAATTATAAGATCATTAAAATAGCTTAACAATTATTATTCAAGCTTGTGAACAGTTTGGGAAATTGATCATAAATTTTACTTTTATTACGGTATCTTATGAATTTCCCAGGAGTTCTATCAACAATAATTCTGAAAAACAGTAAAATTACGTTGGAAAATGTAACATATTTTTAGGTAATCTGATCTTCACTATGAATTGTATTAGAAATTATTTCAATCTCAATGATTTATAACTTTTCAATTTAAAAAAACGGTCAGTATATCCATCTCCAATTTCAGCATATTTTAGTTTACCTATATTATATTATAAAATACATTGACTTTTTCATTTTTTCTTTTCCTAATTTGTTTTTTCAAATAAAATATTTTGTGTATTTAACTACAATTTGAATACAATTTTAGTTATAAATGTATATTTTGTTTAATTTCAATGCTAAACAGTATACATTAATATCATTTTAAATTTTTTTTAAATAATATCAATTAAAAATATACCTACTGCCTACTGGTAACTGGTTAGGTAGGTATTTATTCATTAAGATATTAAAACTTATAAAGATTGTTCGCGAATCGTCAGACCATCCGACGTTATTATATTGATCAATATTTAAGCTGATGACAACAACTTTTCCCCATGGTGTTTATTTTTTCGTCTTTTCTCAGTCAACAATGGTAATAATAATAAATATCCCAAAGGTAATCCACAAACGGTTTTTATGTAAGTACGTATCGTCTTGTTCAGCCGGTACATAATAAGAAAGATCTCCTCGTTCTCTTTTTCCAGTTATGTACACAAAGTTACTCACAGTATTAGTTTCCGTCGGTTTAGGTGCGTGCACAAGCAAACAAAGCGATTTGTCCTATGAAAATTTCAAGTAAACAAGGGGTCAAAACGTAACCAATTAATTCCGAATGAGCCTTAGCGTTAATATGTATAACATCATATTGTAATATAATAGTATAATATTATTAATTATGTCACTTTCATGATGTAACAAATTATTTTTACTTTTTATGACATCCTACTTTTACTTGTCAATACCTAGCTGTTTACTTAACTGTATGAAATCTCTTACCATGATAAAACAAAATAATGATATTATATGCAAATACAATAAAAATGTTAATTTTATATGAACAACAATGTCAATTAGTTTTGTTGATTTATACTTTATGTTTATCCGATTAAATTATTCATTTGTCATTAATGTTTTTTTTTTTAATAAAAAGATTAAATAAATTGTATAAATAACTTGTAACAAAAATAAAATTTAACAACTCGCCGAATTATTAAAAATAATTGCTTAATTTATTTAAGATGGAGATTTAAATTATTTTGAAGAATATTTAAGCAAATTTTAAAATTAATTATTAGTCAATCAGTCATTTTATTTTTATATTTCCAAACAATAAACGCGTTTGATCGATTTTTGTCAATAAACAACGTTAGCTGTAGAATCATTTTTTGCATATTCATAGGATTCAATACAATGTATGTAAACAAATTGCTGAATAATAATAATTTTTTTAATACGCTCTGCGATGGGTTATAAATTTTAATATTTTATCGGTCCTCGAATATATTCTTTTTTTATCATATAATGTAAATTTTTATATTATACAACATAGCTTTAAGTGTGTAATGGCCGGGGAAACATTAGTCATCAAATCTTATGCAGTACAGTGTTTTGTGCGCATTACAATAAATTATAAGTTTTCCTTGTGTGCATTATTATTATATATTTATAGTATGGGTACCTATGTATACAATTATACACTGGCATTATATTATATGTAATATTATATATTTTCCAACAACTCTTTTTAAGAGAGTTTTTCATTAGTTGATACACCATACTATGTCTATAGAAAACATTCAAATTAAAAAAAAAATTGAAGTCAGATGATAAAAATCCATTTGGTTGTAAAACCCAAACAATATAATATTTGCACGTACGCATGTTTTTTAAAGGATTTTTGCATAGGCTTTTTTCTCTTTGTGGTTTGTGCATAAAAAAAAAAAATATTTTTTCACGGTCGGGTAAAAATACTATGAGGTTGGTGAATATATTTCCTATACAAAAGACATGCTTGTTTACATCAGAGTATCTATATTATTATCAAATACTCTTATGTGTTAAAGTTATAACGTGATTCAGTTCAAACAAATTATAAAATCATATGTAATAAAATCAACCAAAGCATGAATTTAAAAAAATCATAATTTTAATTTGAAACAAGAATATATAATGTTTGTGCCTACGTTTGAAAGAACTATATTTTATATTTTAAAATACAAATATAACTAAATCACCGAATATTATGTTGTATTACGTTTTAATTATAGGTATTCAATATTAATTATAATATATAATGAATATAAAGTTATAACTTAGTAAATCAGTCAACGATCACTGTATTTCTGTATTTAATTTTATCTAAATTATGATTTAACTATTTAACTGGTATTTATATTAGTTTAATTGATGTGTTTCAAACGAATAACTCAATAGGTAACATACAATGATTAAATATCAAAAGGTAATGTGTATGAGCAATAATGACAATATTAAAAATGGTTTAGACACTAAAAAATTATACACACTCAAAAGATTTAAAAACGCTTATTTATATTTTTTGTTGTAAGATTCGTATTTTTTTTAACCTAAAAGGAATAAAATGTAAAAAGAAGAGCGTTTTACAGGTCCATAAAAGTGGTAGCTGTAAAAATAAATAACGATTTTGCATGTTGTTGTTTTTTTTTAAATAACATTATCGACAAAAGTCCAAAAACCCTCCATTTACCTACTATGAAAAATATTGACAAAAGGCAGTTTAAATTATTACTCAAACAACTATGGAATATTAAATATATTAAATAAGAATATTATTATAACTTATTAATCAGGAAAACGACAGGTGAATTATAATTTATATTATAATATTCTAGAATTTGAAGACTTGACATAAACTTTTGTATTTAGGTAACTGCTACTAATTACTATTAGGTATGGTATAATTGTTATAAAGAGTACAAAAATAGAATATGTATAAATTATAAGTGTACCTATATCTAATACATAATATTAAAATTGTATAAGTATGTACCTAAGTATAAGTACAGAATAGATGTAATAAAATGGTTATCGGGATTTAAACTAAATTTGTTTTTAACAAATGCCAAAAGTTATAATATTTAGTTATATTATATGATAATATATTACTATAACCGCATAGATATAGGTGCCTGACGCCTGTTAACTTTTATTAAACAACAGATTTGATGCATCTATGATAGGTGAACAGGTAGATTGACAGGTAATTACATTATTTTAACTTAGTTTTACGTGTTTGAGCCTTCAGAAACGCATTAATCGTGAAAATGTATTTCTACGATGTGAAAATCGATTTACTGTCGTGTTGGAAATTTTAATATCCGGATTATGCATGGAATTCCTCAAAATCGGC